TGGAAGATATCCGTCGTCATCTGCGAAACGGATACTCCATAACGGTCAACCAACTCGTGGTAGCGTCCGTACAATTTATGAAGGGATTATTTCAACTTCACCAATTGGAACTCTTGGTCCAATAGCTTCCTTGTGAGCAGCAACCCTCCATCAAGGAAATCATGATAGAAAATACAAGCCCTGGAATATCGTATCAACTGTGAGATGTATACTTAGTACTCTCTATGTAGGCGCTGCTGGAATGTTGCTACATAGAAATGGAAAGTTCATAATTGGGAAACTGAAATCGTCTCTTTTATCGTAAAATTTTGTTTTCTATCGGCAATGCAATGCGTTTTCTAACGCTTCGAAACTTCCATTAAAAAGACAAAAATGCAAATTTGTTATATCCAATGAAACACATTGATAGTAAAAGAGGATTCAAAATAGATAATTGTAATTAGTTTAAAAATATACAATGTCCCTTGCTAATTTGGATTAATGACAGCTACATCCTGAAGGGTATTGCTCCAGCATTATTGCGCAACGTAGCAATTCATATTATACAAATTTTAAGAAGAACTATACTTGTATGAAATGAAAGACGAAAGTCCACTTTTGGCAACAAAAAGTAATCAAACATAAATAGAAGGTGCAAAATGATATCAGCTAAGTGTCATGGATATCAATGACAGGTTTTGTAGAAGGCGAATAACTAGCACCTTAATTTGTGGAAAATTAATGCTGCAGTTCTTATAATTAATGACTCATTCGAAATGAATGTGAAAATGAGAAGACATTTAAGTATATCAAAAACACTAACACTTTCAATGTTGATGTACAAAACTACAGGTCACCGAACGGCCTCCAACAATTACCCGTGCGTATAGTAATTGATAAATGCCCTCGGGATAACAAATTGTGAAAAAAATCAGAAACGAAGAACTAACGAAAAAGTATAAACAAAAATACCGAACTCCAAGGTATATTAAAAAAATCTTACATCCATAAAAGCTAACAGAATGAAACGTTAGAATTCCTTTTGAATTTTAACCAAAGATGGAGAACTGGGTCTTCCTTCGCTGTATTGGATATCTAAATTGCATAAATGTCCTTACAAACAACGTTATATTGCATGATCTTCCACGAAACCTCTTTCTAAATTATTAACTTAAATTTTTTCAGCAATCAAAGTCGGACTTCAAAATTATTATGAAACTACTTATTCTAGAGGCAATGTGAATCAGATGTGGGTACTAAAACATTCCAGAAATCTGTTAGAGTACACACAATCTAAGACTCTTTCATCTTGCAGTAGTATTAAAACATTTGACTTTTCTACCATTTACACAAGTATTCCCCATTCAAAACTAAAAGACAAAATATAAGTGTTGGTTCTGCTTTGTTTTATAAAAAGGAATGACCAACATAGATACAAGTATCTTGTCTTAGGGAGGGATGAATAGTTCTTTTGTAAAAAAAAAATCACTATGATTCAAACAAACAATTCTCTGAAACATACATCATCCATCTGCTTGATTTCTTGATTGAATACATATTTTTTTTACGTTTGGTTGACGTGATTTTTCAATAACCAATCGCTTTCCCATGAGGAAAATGAAAAGAAGCTAGCATTATTCTTTAACTTTCTGCTATAAAGATGACTTTCTCTCACTAATTAAACCAAAGATTGATGACTATGTTATCCCGTTGATCTTGAAATAAAGATACAACAGATACTGTTAAGTCAGCCTCATATCTTTACTTACAACTAGACGTTGCCAAATGAGGGTCGGTTGAGAACAAAATTTTACGACAAAAGAGATAATTCCAGCTTCTCAATTGTGAACTTTCCATTTCTATGTAGCAACATGCAAGCAGCGCCTGCATATGGAGTATATTTCTTCCAGTCGATACGATATTCCAGGGCTTGCATTTCCTATCATGATTTTCTTGATAGAAGGTTGCTGCTCCCAAGGAACCTATTAAACCAAGAGTTCCAAGTGGTGAAGTTGAAATCATTTCTTCGACAATTTTACGGACACAATGCATCACGAGTCGGTTGACCGTTATGGAATATCTGATCACAGATGACGACAGATATGTTCAAATTTTCTTACCTACAATCCCGTTCTTTTTTTTCCCAAATGTGACCTACCAAATTACCAGATGTGTTCTTACATGAGCAACACGACGGGTACCACATGTGGAGCAGAATCTGCTTACCCTTCCGCAGCAGCTGAGATCACCTCCGGTTTTTAAGTTGGTTCGTGTTGCTCAGTCTTTAGTTTTCTATGCTGAGTTTAGTATAGTGTTGTTCATCTTTTGTTCCTTTTCTTTTATTGCCATAACGTTGTCAGTATATTTTCGACTTATGAGTTTGAATGTCCCTTTGGTATCTTTCGCCTGTCTTTTTAGACTTAATCAACAGAACAAATCGCAAACAACTGTCATATTCATTTTCAGAAAAAAAAGTATGGAAGGTCAAAACATGTCTGATAGCTTGCTAACTGGAATGAGCTATTAACATTATTATTAAACGGAAAACAATTATGGAAGACGGCGAAGAAAGACAACCACTGAACAACAAGCTAGGATTTGGACTGGTAGATGCAGATTTTGACGGGGTTACACATAACATTGGACAGTGGTATTGTTATATGCCTCATCCTATTAGTGCATTATGATTAACATGTATACAAGATTTTCAATGGTAACTTTATTGATTTTGATTAACAATTAATCAGTCACGCTCCAGCGATTTTTTTTTTTGGTGACTTTTGTCACTTAATATCACACTTAACCAAATCGTGTTTGGACAAAAATATTATAATGGAACAATGAAAAACTGCATAATTTTCTAGGCGTACTTTATTTACACCATATAGAACTTTGTGATTACCACAAATTAAAATCAGTATACAAAAAGAGACTAAGAGACAAGAACCCATTCAATTTTTTTAATATTATTCGGTGCTATTACCTCGTGGATTGGACATATTCATCAATATTTATTGTCTCTGGAAATTTTACCAAAATTGGAGAATATCATCTGTTAGATTTTTAGGTGTAATAAGCATTATCCGCCTGTTGGTGAACTGTATTAAAACTATTCGGTTAATCAACATTGAACTTTAAACTTCACATTGGTCATACTTAGGTTATAAACTATGGCAACACCAGTTTACCGAAGTTAATCGATTCAGAAGACGAATAAAGGTAACACACATAAACTGAAAGAATGGCATGGACTCCAAAAAGGAGCTAGACTGGATGCGTCGATAAGTTAAGCGTCACCTGCGATGCATCCCGCACCCGTAATGTCAATCCACATTCCGTTAAAATTTCATAATCGGGATTAGGGCATGATCGGTAAAATAACAGACTACACGACTTTTCTGGTATCTAAACAGATCTTAGACTGCGAATCAAGTCCCTGTTGTTTTGAGACACAGGCATATCGCATCTTGCAATCAATTTATGATGGTGACCGAAAAACTTATGTAGTGTAGATTTCAGTCGTTCTTCCTTATAACTCTGTAGGAGCAGTATTCGCATTAGTTGATGTTTTAACTGTTTTAAACAGTACATTTATATTTGAAGAGAGGTCAATGAATTCTTCATAATCATCAACCGAAATATTTTCTTTTCTTTTTCATGCACATTAAAGCCCAAGTGTTAAATTTTGTAAAGCATATCTGGCCTAATAAAAAATTGTCAATACCAAATGTTTGTTCTTGTTGTCCTAGTGCTTTGTGACTAGTTCGTGTGAATTGAGGCGACATTATTTGCCAATGTCCAGGTTTCACGGGTAATACAGTGAACAGCATTTGATGTTGAAACTGGCAAATATGGTTTCTTTTAAGGATCAGTGTTTTAGGTTGTTAGTTGTTGTTTGGGTCGAACTAATCAAAAGTTTAAAACATCTATTGTTTATTGTTTTTATTGGACTTTTGTAATTTCACAGCTAATGCTAATGAACTAAACACATCTCATTTACAAACAACTACTTTTTTGTCTCGGGGTTAGAGCTTGCCTCAAGTGAGGGTGGATGTACATGTAGGTACGATCCCTCCTCGGAAAAGTATATATATTTTAAAATTTGAAGTAACAACATCTCTACCAAGAGCAAAGACGCAATATGAAAGACTCCTCGGCTTGGAGTCAGAATAATGTAGATTGATGTCTTACAAATTCGGATTGGCTTTTGTATGCAGGGTTCGTAAGGGAACGATCATTCAATATTCTGGGAGGAGGTGGATAGAAATATTTTGACCTGATAAGAATTCAATAAATATGGTTGCCTAAAACAGAATGAAAATGAATACTTTGCCCAAAAGAATGCAGGAAAAAAATGTGTACTTAAATTAAAATAATTGTTTGAGCTGGAAAAAAAATTAGCGAGACTTTTCAAAAGGTGTAAATGAACAATCTGTAAGAGATAAGTTCTCTTGCACCAATAATATCAAATGGTCGTCCCTTAATTATATCAAATTTACAGTCTCGTTATCGACCTGCATATGCATTACATATTTGCTGCTTAACAATTAATCAACCGGCGCATATCACGCCATTTTGAAAGGGGGTTCCAACCCCGGAACACCATGAAACGGTCACATAATAAAAAAAAATCGGGAATAAAATGGGGTTCCAACCCACCCACCCCCTCCACCGCGATCTGGATCTGCCAATGAATCAGTATTGTTACTTTATATTATATTGACGTTAAATGCAATAAGTAATAAATTTCTTGAATTATGTTTCAATGAATCTGTATTTTTTCTGGTATAATGACTATCGCCTCCACTCCGCTCAATTCATCATTCTTCTTTCGCCAATGGTTTGTGAAATAGTTAATTTTGCAAGTCTACTCATATCTGATTAATTTTAAACTCAATCTAATTAAAATATAGTTCTCTGGTTTCGTCATATTCATATGAGCACGCGAGTTAATCTGGATCAGAATTTTAATTAGATTGTTTTAAACTAATACAACAAAAATTACTGTATCAGAATGTACATCAATTTTTATTAAATTTTAATTTTATATGCTGCTTTTCGTATAAAGCCAGATACAAAAGAGATGCACAAAAAGATAAAACAGCAGCAATTGTGAAACTCCATGTAAAACAATGGGTCCCGTAACAATCTTTTTGGCTTTTAAATGGTATGGCCATCTCGTATGTCCACCCATACAGTTCTTGTATTGCTAATCCACCAATACCCGTAACAAACAATATAAACCCCCAGTTTCTTCCGAAATATTTCATTCCATAATTTTCACCAGTGATTGTCGGTGTTAAGCACCATAACGATCCATTAGCCATACCTACTATAATAACTAAGAATAGTAGCATGGCAAAGTGATTTGGAAAGAATATACAACATGTCAGAAAAACTGACTGAATAAGGGTAAATGTCAATAAAACAGCTACACGAGGAACTCGATCCAGGAGAAAGTCGGATAAAAATCCAGCAAACACTTTTGATCCGACTTGTGCTATAGGATTTATGGTCGTAAACAGAGTTGTATATTTGTCGAGACTAAATGATTTGAGATAAGTTCCAATGTTGCTTTGAACCATCAGCTGTAAACTTGATGCAAATGTACAAGACCACAAAATAAACTGAAAATCAAACGTCTTGAAAAGTGTCCATCCGGTCACATGATTAACAACCAATGTTTCGTCATCGGTATCTCCTTCGTCAAGCAATCGTTTGATTTCGGTATCAGCACTGAACTGAAATGGACGAATGAATATCATACCAAGAAATCCTACTCCAAAATATACTATTGCACATGTAAGATAAAATCCTTTTAGGTTTTGGTTTTGTTCGTCATATGTATGACCGTTTACAAATACAAGCCCATAGAGAAATGCTGTGATGGCAGGCCCTGCACTGAAACATCCATCTAAAATGCCCACGACCTTTCCTCTATTCTTGGGATGAAAATTGTTCATATTTGTCATTAGTGAAGCCATGTAAATGAATGCAGAACCATACCCTATAAAATAAATAATTCCAATAAAATAGCAATCAATATGATTTTAATTATAAAATAAAAAGTAGGTAATACCAAAACAAACAGTTAACAAGGCCTTGTGATGATTCATAGCCTGTGTTTAGAGACCTCTTAATTGATGATACAATTATCTTCAGCGAAAGTATTTCTGAATTACAAAAAATGATAGTCGCTGTATATGATAGTTCATACCAGAATGGTCTTGACATTAATTTAAGAAAAACCAAAATAGTTGTTTTTCGTAACAGAGGTGTACTGAAAGAGAATGAAAAATGGTATTTAAATGGTAAAATGATAGAAATATGTGATCAGTTTGTATATTTTGGTTTGTCCATGTTGTTATTGAATTATAACCGTTACGGTACTTTTACTGTAACACAGAAAACACTATCTGAACAGGGTAGAAAGGCTACATTTTGTTTATTGAGTAAGATTTATTATGATGATTGTTATAATACTGAGACTTTGATATCCTTATTTGATACATATGTAACAAGTATTGTGAATTATGGTTGTGAAATATGGGGTTTTCATAAGGGATCTGATATAGAAACGCTTCATTTGTATTATTTAAAAAGAATTTTGAAAGTGAGAAAATGGACTGTAAATCATATGGTGTATTTTGAACTTGGGCGTTTACCATTGTATGTAATAGATATGTAAGAAAGGTATGTTATTGGTTGGAGTTATTAGCTATATATAGAATCTAATAATTGTATGTTGAAGAGTTTTTATGAAGATATGTACGAATCTAGTTTTGTTAAACCGAATGATAAACTCAACTGGAGTTGTAAGATAAAAGACATACTAAACAGGTATGGATTTAATGCTATTGTAACAAAAAAATTGTTCCGGCGTGACATTTGTTCCGCCGGAACAACTTTCATAGGAAATATGTTCCACCGGAATTTATATCACAGAAAATAAGTTCCAGCACTATAAAATTTGTTCCGGAACTAATTTTTTGACCAAATGTGAAATAAGTTCCAGAACAAAAATCACAGCTCCATGAATTTTGTTCCAATATTAAAAGTCTTAAAAAAGTGAAATAAGTTCCTGTGATATTAGTTTTTAACGAACATATTTCATAGAAATCAATGAATATAAGTTCCGCTCAAACCTATTTCACAGAAAATAAGTACCTTTGCAACATATTGCACAGTTTAATATTTTCTTGTTACACTTAGATTATAATGCAAGCTGGATGCTGTACTGTGCTTGCATGGGGTACATTTGCAATTGAAGGCATGACTGTAACTATATGATGACGATAAGAAATAAAAGCGATGGTAATGTATCATAATTTGTATTTATGTTTTATATGGCATCCTCCTTGTTTCCTGTCATACATGTAATAACGTCATGGCACAGTTTCAAAAGAGTGTATCTTTTGTTTCTTTATGTCTTTTAAAATAATTGATAAGTCACTTTGGCCTTTTCAAATTAGTACACATGTTCATCTTTAACTATACTTTTTTCGGAATGATTTTTCTTATTCTACTCTTTTCTAGCTCATAAGTGTCATTTTGGTATTTTTATGTAGTATTTTATTAAACATACTACATACTCCACATGATCCAAATTTGATGTTTACACTTTTATTTTATTACATTATCAATATAATACATGTTTTTATAATGTACTTGAATGATAAATTGAAACTCACTGATGACAAATGCTCAGTATATAAGATAACTTGTTTAACCAGTGGAACATATTTCACAGACAAGGAACTTATTTCACCAGTTGGGGAACAAATCTCACAAAACCCAGAACTTATTTCACCAGGTAAGGAACAAATCTTACAAACCCGGAACATATTTCACTAGGTAAGGAACAAATTTCACAAACCCAGAACTTATTTCACCAGGTAAAGTGTGGAACTTAATTTATCATGTTTATAGAGATGGAACAAATTATATAGAAATTATCTGTGAAAAAAGTTCTCCCAGAACATATTTCCTGTGATATTAGTTCCACTGGAACTTTTTTCACAGGAACAAATTTTGGCTCACACTATATGGTTAGCACAAAATGTTGGAAATAGTCAATTATTTTTACATGAATTTAAAAAAAAATTGTTGATAATTATATAGCTGAAGGCTTGTCATTTTTTTAAAATACTTCAAAATGTAATTTGTATCAATATATAATTTAATTTTGAAAGTAACGTGTCTTCTGATTGGCTGACATTGTTTTGTTTATCAGCTCATAGACATAATTTTATCATGTGACCGTGACGTCATCAACGTTTTTTCATGGTTTACTACGGTTTAAAATGGAATTTAGAATTCAATTATAAGAAATGACTGTAATATTTTTTCTGTCTATTCGAAATAACATAAAAAATGTGGTGCACACTTTCAAATATCCCGCTACGCGGGTTATTCAGTGTGCACCACATTTTTGATGTTATTTCTTCATAGACAGAAAAAATATTACAGTCATTCCTTAAATACATGATATTACAGTCATTCCTTAAATACATGATGGACATACTTTGCAATTTTATTTGAATCGACCATTGAACAGTTTATACCAGTCATATGTAACTAAATATAGAATCAATTCACATTCACTCAATGTAGAAACTGGAAGATACTTTAATATTTCCAGAAATGAGCGTGTTTGTACTATGTGTGATAAAAAATTAATCGAAGACGAATATCATTTTACATAGATTACCTTAGCCGTATTTGGCACAACTTTTTGTAATTTTGGGTCCTCAATGCTCTTCCAACTTTATACTTGTTTGGCTTTCTAACTATTTTGATCTGAGCGTCACTGATGAGTCTTATGTAGACGAAACGCGCGTCTGGCGTATCAAATTATAAGCCTGGTACCTTTGATAACTTATTTTATCTTACCTCCTATACATTTCTAGGAATATGATTGGTTAAAAGCGTCCGCGTGGAGACCGTGTATATTCCATATTAGGTTAGTAGGGAGGCGGGGCTTATTTTAATACACGGTTAGTAGTGGTGTTACGTCCCTTTATAAAAACAAAACGGTACTGAGAAAAATTGATGATTAAGATTGAAATAAATTCATAAAACACATTTAAAGCTAACAAGTTGTTATTGTTGGCATCTGTTTTTGTATGATCAATGGAAGTAGTTTCGTAATGCTAACGGTATAGACGTATTAACACTTGTATGCAATTTTGTCCGCCATTACGTAAAATCACACAGGTTCCCGTAAACTTTGACATCATAATTCAAAACAATGTGACGTCACAATTAAAAAGTGATCGTTGCCTGACGTCCAAGGGTGATTCGGAGTAGATCTAGGGTAATTCGGATGCGAAATATAGCTTAATATCAAAAGTGTAAATACGTTTATTGAAGACTTACTCATTTTGATAGGCATGTTACTAGTCTAAATATCACACGTTAGGATAGTCGGTAAGATAAATTCGTTACATAGTGTGCTAGTGACGTAATACGGTATATATGGGGTCAGTAAATTCCATATGGGGATTCGAGCTTCGCTCTCACCCCATATGGAATTTACTGACCCCATATATACCGTATTAGGTCACTAGCACACTATGTAACTAATAATATTAGAGTGTGATAAAATATGTAAATGTCAGATTGAAGTAAATATATTAAGATATATTATTATAGAAACCCATCTAGTTTCAAACTAGTTCAGTTATTATCTATAAGAAATATTCAGGAGATTAATAATCTGGGTAAATACCTTTATGAGGCAGAGAAAATTCGTAACACTTGATTGTTTGTTATGTACCGTTATTACCAATGTAAATTGTATGCCAAACTCCGCTACATGTTAGAAATTGTTTATGACATTAATGTTGTAAATGTATATGTAAACTGTATAAATTGTGTATTTGTTTAATCCTATGAGCTGTATCTGCTTGCGGAATAAAGTATTATTAATATCATTCTTCATTTGTTTTACTTGAATGTTAAAATATTAACTCAATTATTATATATATCAAAACGCTAAGTTAACGCTAACGTTTTGGAATTTTCGGTTACTTATATATGCTCTTCAACTTCGTATTTGATTTGGCTTTGCAACTGTTTTGATTCGAGCACCTCTGATGAGTCTCATTTAGACGAAACGCGCGACTACATGGCGTACCAATTTATAACATGGTATATATTTGATGAGTTTGTATTTATCTAGCTAAGTTGTGGCCGCTATTTCAGTCAAAACAAAGAATTGTTCATGTAGATTAACCTGCATTAATATACAAGCGGGCGTTGTTATGCCACATAATAGATAAAGATAAGAAAATTATAACTTAAGAAGCATGCTAAATATTCAAAAAATATTTAGCATACATGTACCTGTCAAAAAGTAATACAGATACTGCAAAACAGGTCTTTCCTCATAATAGTCTCTTGAAATAGTTGTTGACCATAACAAGATAGCTCCAGTTCCGGAAAATACTATTGCAACAAACGAAGTCCATCTAGGTCCAAATCTCTCGCATAATATTCCAGCTGGAAAAGCGAAGGTGACACCAAAATTTGACAAGGATCCCATAAGATCGACTGAAAAAAAAAAGATATTAGAATGGATATTTTCAAAGATGTCGAAATTCCTTTTTGTATGTTATTTTCTTTTTCATTTCAAATAAGGTAGTAATATAGTCTCAAAAATAACTTCATATAAATTTAATATAATTTTCAAATTACCGAATACAACTTTATTCTTTAAAATGTTTTTTTCTCTCTCCATAAATTGAGATGTAATGGCCACATCTATAGATATTTTAATAATAGTTGTTAGTAAAGTGGGTCGTACCTAGATATAAACGATAACTCACAAAGGGTGGACATATCGACAAACAGTTTGATATAGGCCAAACCGGGGGAATTCAGTTAGTATATCAAAATAACGGTGGTCAATATCTGGGCTCTAGGACGGTCTTTATATATTGGAACGTTTGGTCTTTTTCATTAATAGCTATTGTTAAATGTTTTTATTTCTTATGCAGCAAAAATACTGCAATCTGATTGGTTAATTACCCCGGTGTAAATAACACCCCACCTTGTTCACCCAGGGATAAATAAAATTTTGCCAAAAATTGAAAAAAAAAAAAATTTTGCCAAAATAAAAAAAAAAAAAATGTCCATGAAAAAAAAAAAAAAAAATAAATAAAATATCAAAAAAAAAAATTAAAAAATTAAAAATAAATAAATTTGAGGACAAAAATAACATCGACGTTGAAAAAAATGTTAACACTGGAAATTTTTCATTACCATTTTTCAATTTTACATCCTGGTTTAAAAATGAGTAAAGGAATTGTTCATAAGAAATAAATTCGTTATCTTGGCGTAATCAGGGGTGTACGGAATTTTACACCGTTGTTGAAAATTCATACACCCATGCGCCTCAGGGTGTATGAATTTTCAACAACGGTGTAAAATTCCGTACACCCCTGATTACACCAAGATAACTAATAATACTGCAACTAGTTATAATTACATTACATGTATGTTTCACGAGAATCCGTTAGTTTCATTGGCTAACAACAATCGCGCGTCATTCAAAAGTTAACCTTCTTATCAAAATGAAATGTTACATTCGTGATGACACGTGCTTCCACAAAAAGTGCACAGGTAAATAAAAGTAAAAATTGATAAAACTTTTTTTCATGGTCTTATTAGCATAAATATGTAATTATAAGAAATGCGCTTCATTCAAAATGTGCTTCAGTCAACAATTTTACACCCCAATAAAATTTCAAAAAGAAGCATTCATTTCTTAAGTGTTTATTTCCTAAATATAGTAACAAAGCCATATTTTGTGCAATTATTATGTCAATTTCATCATGGATCACTTTTTCCACAATCAGGGGTTCATTCAGGGTTGAAAATAATATGAAATGTGTGTTACAATTTAAATAGCTATCAATGTATCAACTTTTAAGTTGCAGTATAAAAACAAGATTAGGTAAATGTCAGAAAAATATAAAACGGTAAAACCTCGCCCTTCTCCAGTTTCTCATGATCAGCCTCATACAAAATAAGTTTATATTTTTCTGACATTGACCTAATATTGTATATTTATTGGGCCTTTATAGCATTATGAAGAAACACCTTTTTGGTAGAAAATTTAAATTCAAATTTTATCCCGCAATCAGCCGACTGTTCACAAATAACAATTACTAGCCTATATACATGTACAAATAAATGTTTTTTTGTGTAGCATACAAAAGGCCTACTTCTATGTTGAGAGAAAGGTAGCATCAAAATTACTGTTGATGTTGCAGATTTTAAATAAAAGCTAGTCTCAATTTTCTTCCTGTTTCTACAGCTGGTACAAATAATATTTATATTTTCCGACAATGTGCGTATATAATATTTGCATTTTCTACATTAGCAGTTAATGCTTTTATTAGTCGAAAAAACAGTTAATTAAAATGTATGCAGGTATTAAACTTTCCTTACTTCATCATACTATTGTAAGTTTGAAAACTGTTTAAACTCTAAATTCGTCATGATCATTTAAAAGATCTATATATATATATAAAATTATATTTTTATTTTTTGAAATTAAAGGGCCAAAAATGTGGAAAGGATTATAATAGTTTTCCTTTGTCTTTATAATGCATGTTTTGAAGTCTTAACCGTCGATGACAATTTCCGTGATAATTGGAGACAACCCAAACGAGATGACTGAAAACTGATGTTTTTTTTTTTCTACAATGTTCCTTGCGATTAGCTGGATTTTTAAAAAGTTTGTATGCACAAACACAATCATGCAAATGAATATAATTCAATTAACAAGGCAGTCTTTTTTAATTATCTAGTTATGCTGGCCAACACAGATGTTTGGTTTAGTCTATTATGACTTGGCGAAATTTTATTTAGATAGTATCAATACTAATTTCGTGTCAAATGACATCCGTGAACTTTAATAAAAAAAAAATATTTTCAACAGCTAACAGGATACAATTTATATGCTGTAGACAATTTTCTAGTTGATAATTAATTTATTTCGATTGAAATATCACAAGATGTATCGTTTTATAAAGGTTCATATCTTTCGTTTAATCTAAAAATAACGTCTACCGACATCCGTGTTCTTTAAAATATATAGCGAAACAGGTTAATATTTTATATATTTACACCAAAATGTCGTTAAATAAAATTGGATACCCTGCATCTATCATGCTTTTCAATAACGTATGATCAAATCGCTGAATGACCCCCTCCTACATTATTGTTAACAATCATTCTGCATTGACAATACTAGTACTATTTTGGCGTAAATTAGATACACCAATTCGGGGTTACGCCCTCAAGGTGTATCTAAATACATATAACTTTTCGAAGGGGGTAATAATCTTCTTTATCATATACTTGTAGAAAATAATGGTATAATTGTACCCCTTGATAAAACTAATTTATCCATATATTTATTCAATAAATTTTAAGAACTGTCTTAGCCGTGTGATATGACTTTTGTTATCAACTGCTTCCGGTATATATCAACTGTTTCCGGTTTATATCAACTGTTTCGGGTTATTATCGCTTCGCCTCAGTTGACAATGTTTTCTCGGGGTAACAATCTGCTCTATCACCCTCTCAGCTATGTGTTATTTATATAATAACACATAGGTGAGAGGGTGATAGAGCAGAACTGAGGCGAAGCCAAGGTTGACAATGTCCGTTCGACATTTAGGTTTATTATACTGAATGTTCTGTTATTACTGTCGATTAAATTTCAAATTCAAAGTAATAAACTATGACGTCTTGTACATAACAACCATCCGTATTCAATAAAGCGCACACTTGATCAAGCGTCTCCGTGAAGGGTAATAGAGTAATTGACATAGGATATTATTCCACTGTATGTTAAATTTGATAGCTTAATCAATGTTTGATTGGTTGAGACCATTCCACGTGACACTGAACAAAACTTCATATTCCCCTCTAAGTATCATATTCCACTCTGAACATCGGGACTTGCCTGTGCGACGTTACGCGCGGTTTATGTAAGTAACGTTTTGAACGTTTTTAAATTGCGATAGTAAAGTCACTACCGTGTTCAAAATTATTTCAGACGTAAAATCCAAACATAAATAATAGATAATTATCTTTTGATCAGTATTGTTTATCAATGTTTTAGATTATGTCGTGTTTAGTTATGAAAACAAGCGGTTAATAAAAATGTATGTGAATTAATGTTTTATGCTCATTTACTTAGAGTAAACAAAGTAATGGCAGTGGAATAAAACATTCATTTCCCTTGGCTTAGGGAGATATGAAGATTTGCGAGTCCCTCGGGGAAATATGAATTTTCTTGGGGGAACAAATCTTCTTATTTCTTATGCAGCAAAAATACTGCAATCTGATTGGTTAATTACCCCGGTGTAAATAACACCCTACCCTTGTTCACCCCGGGATAAATAAAATTTTGCAAAAAAATTTAAAAAAAATAAAATTTTGCCAAAATAAAAAAAAAAAAAAAAATGAATAAATAAATAAATTTGAGGACAAAAATTGAAAAAAAAATTAAAAAAAATATTTATAATTTTTTTTTTCCCAAAAATTCAAAAGAACACAAAATTTTCTGAATTTCCCAAAAATAAAGAAAAAAGTATTTGACAATGCGCAGCAACATTGAAGTTGAAAAAAATGTTACACTGGAAATTTTTCATTACCATTTTTAAATTTTACATCCTGGTTTAAAAATGAGTAAAGGAATTGTTCATAAGAAATAAATTCGTTATCTTGGTGTAATCAGGGGTGTACGGAATTATACACCGTTGTTGAAAATTCATACACCCATTCGGCTGCGCCTCAGGGTGTATGAATTTTCAGCAACGGTGTAAAATTCTGTATACCCCTGATTACACCAAGATAACTAATAATATCTCCCTCAGGCACGGGAAATAAATGTATAGAGTCGTATTTAATAAAGCGCACACTTGATCAAGCGTCTCCGTGAAGGGTAATAGAGTATTTACCATAGGATAGAGTAAATTTTGTCTCTCTCGTATTAACCAATCAAAATCTGGCATTTTGACATGAAGTATAATAAAGTAATTTATCCCCTCGTATTAGCCAATCAAAATCTGGCAGTTTAACATGAAGTATAACAAACAGGATATACATAACGAGGTAACAATCCACACACAGACATACTAGGCTAACAGGGCATATTCTTCTGACTCTGAGCCGACCAGACTTTGCCATGCTCTTATTCCTAAAATCATCCAGTCGGATACCAAACGTACTTATGCACTTGAAGCGAGGACGCTACCATGAGACATCCGACGCGATAGTTTTACTGCGAACTGTTCCGATTAAAAAAAATGTAGTATATGTATAACATTATCGAAAATAGATAATGAAATAAAGATTTATTCTGAATTCAAAGAGATTCAGTTATATGCAACAACCGCATGTTGATCCAAACGAGAGAGAGAGAGAGAGAGAGAGAGAGAGAGAGATCAAAATACGAATGAAAACACAAGAATTTAACAAATGTGTCTGTGTCTTTTCTCATGATCTGTCTTTTCTTTCAGGTATTTTAATTCTTGAAAAATGGCCTTTTAATTTTCATAATTCACGACGTATTTAATACATTTTAAATTAGCTATTATATTCATAAAACTTTGAAGGATGAAATTTGGGATTAGTAAAAAACAAAATTAGCACGAAATATGCGCAAAATATTCAGCTTTACCGTGACCTTTTCTAGTTCTGTTCTTGCTGATCATTTTTAAATCAACAGTTTATCTCTATCTTCTATACTAGGTTTTTTTTAAATAACATAAAAGTCGTTAGGAAAAAAATCGCCATTTTAGGGCAACAACTCCTACAAGGAGTTGACTGGCATTTTAAGGCTATGCCAACTTATTTGTAGATCTTTTCTTTCTGGTCATATTTTGTTTAACATTCTTTCTCTATCTATTTTAGTTTGTGAGGTAATAGGCAAAAACTTACAAAAATGGAATTTAGAAATAACCCTTTAATAGTCTCATGCGTTAAAGCAGCCGCCTGACAATTTGGGTTATAAAAGACAATATGTAGACCTTTACATTTTAAACATGTTCATCCTGTCAAGTTTTCTGTATCCGTAACGATTTGCAAAAAAATAAGAGAGAATGCTGACATTTTACCCCTATGTTTTATTTTTTATATTTGGCGGCCATGTAGGTTGGGCGGTGGAATCATCGTCTTTTTAGATCTACATACCACAAGGATGATTGTGACCAAGTTTGATTCATTTCGACTTTTAATTTTCAGAAGAGAAGATTGTTGTAGCCCTAAATGACAGACGACGGGCGCAAAGTGATGGCAAAAGCTCACATTCGCCCTTTGGGCCAATTAAGATAAAGATAAAATTGAGAATGGAAATGAGGAATGTGTCAAAGAGACAACAACCCGACCATAGAGCAGACAACAGCCGAAGGCCACCAATGGGTCTTCAATGCAGCGAGAAACTCCCGCACCTGGAGGCGTCCTTCAGCTGGCCCCTAAACAAATATGTATACTAGTTCAGTGATGCATACCGTTCGATCTTTGCTGTGATAGTATTTTATTTCAAATTAACCAATTTCTGAAAGTGCAATAACGCATGTGCAGCGGTATCATTTGATAAGGCAGTAACAAATTTTAAACGTACATGCGGAGTAATCAATCTACCTAGAAATGTATCGAATAGACCAATTGCTGTTATTTGCCAAGGTGAAGATAATTGAGGGGCGGCTCATATAAACCGCTTCAAACATAAGTTGTGTTCCTGTAAGAACACATTATATAAAGAATTATCTTGCATCCTATACATTTCTAGGAATATGATTGGTTAAAAGCGACCGCATGGAGACCCTGTATATTTAATTCGGGGTTAGTGGGCGTGTTTTATTTCTTATTACCGCACCGCGGGTAAATTATTACGTTGTGATTGGTTTAACGCCGTCACGTGGTGACCCCCTATGGATCCGTAAGGGGTTAGTAAATTTCATAGTGGGTTCATGACGTCACGGCTAATGTTAATGGTGACGTCATCTATTGGTGTTTTTGTATTTCATTGTTTATTTTTCTACAAAACGCTGCAGAATAAGTATCGCGTGCGATAAATTCGTTATACGGTTCACTACTGACTCCCTACGGATCCATAGAGGGTTAGTAAAATCCTTAGGGGTGAGGCCGAAGGCCGAATCCCCTATGGATTTTATTTACCCTCTATGGTCAGTAGGGGGTCAGTAGTGAACCGTATAACAAATTTATCGCACGCGATACTTATTCTGCAGCGTTTTGTAGAAAAATAAACAATGAAATACAAAAACATCAATAGATGACGTCACCATTAACATTAGCCGTGACAATAAAATTTGATCACTTTGGTAGGCAATTAGTCTAAATGCCACATGTTAAGATAAATTCATTACACAGTGTGCTAGTGACCTAATACGATATATATGGGGTCAGTAAATTCCATATTGGGTTTCGAGCTTCGCTCTCATCCCATATAGAATTTACTGATCCCATATATATATATCGTATTAGGTCACTAGCACACTCATATGGAATTTACTGACCCCATATATATCGTATTAGGTGCAAGACCCTCATGGGTAGTCAAGCTTTTAACCCCCCCCCCCGTCGTAGCAGACTGTGTAACTAATAATATAAATTAAAGAAATTCTATTCCTGATATAAAAAAACACAGAAAAATTAAAATCGAACTGCTTTTAAATTTGTTGTTATTGCAATTTTTCCTTGTTTCAAGCATCTTCGCTAGCCAAGGGTTACGATCCAGTCCCCTCCTGGAGATGAGGGGACTGGATCGTAACCCTTGGCTAGCGAGGATGTCTTTCAAGCTGCCTTTCGAAAGATTTTTCACTTTTGATAATCAATAACAATCGGATAGTCGTCCCTTTAAGTGTAAGAAGTTTAAAAACTTTTAGGCATAAACTAGATATTACGGAAATTTCAATTGTCCTTTTATTGATGTCGCTTGAGAACATCGATGAATGTTTGATAGATTAATACTACTTTATGAAAATAAGTTATGATTGCCTAAGAGACAACTATCCACCAAAGTTCAAATGAAGCGGGTGTAATCAATTACTGTCAACCGTACGGCCTTCGACAATGAGAAAACTCATACCTTATAGTCGGCTATAAATCTCTCCTCCTAACGTGGGACAGTGGTGTTACAGTACAACATAAGAACGAACTATACAAATCAGTTGAAAAGGTCTTGTCTCATTAGATCGATACAAGGCAAAAAAAAAAACATATATCAAAAACATAGACCGGACGTGCAGGGTATTTATAAATCCCTAACGACAAAAAAGACACAAAGTACCGAACTGAGGGTACTCGCAGTTACTGACAGCTAGTTCAAAGCCAGTAAAACTACCAAAGAAATCATGTATCTAAAACTAAAATATCAACCAATACGCATCCAACATTCAATGGATTTAGTGTAAAGACGTCATTAACAGTCAGAGAAAAACATGATCGTGTGCAATGTCAAAATATAGGTTTTCACAGTGTAGTACCGTGAAAGTGCATATGTGTATAACAATAATATTTTAGTAACTATGGTTAATTTACTGATAACAAAATCAATATTTATATCAATGAAAACAATATTCAAAGATCTAATTGCAGTGTTGAATTAGTAACTTTTTAGAATGAGTTAGTTTAAAGGATTGCTATGTTTACCCGGATCGTATCCTAATGTCCGGGCTCTGTAAACAACATCACCGTAAACATTAGGATGTGCTATTCCGTTTCAAATAAGTTTTCTACAGGTACAGCCAAACTTGCAAACCAAATCCTTTTATCTAGGGAAGAATTTAGTAAAGGTTTTCAGTAATATGAGGTAACGAAATCCCTGACTTAATAGTTTACTAGTAATACATACATGTAGATTACGCTCATTGGAATCATAAACGCTACTACAGACACGGCATAGCGAACAAGTTTGGATATATAAACACAGTAAGGCGGTGCTTAAGGAGAAAAAAAGGAAAATTAACAATAGGGAAAGAAAAATCGTCCCTTTTGTCGTAATTTTTGTGTAGAGTTTCTCGTGTAAAACTAAAACATATAAATCTAGCAAAGGACAGTTATTGCTGTTAATATTTGATTTATTTAAAGTAAGTTCCTTTGGGTAAATTTCGGTAGTATATTTAGAAAATTCTTGATTATTTAACGAAAATAAAACTCGCCAAGAAAACGGTAAGTGTTGTTGAATTTGTTAATCAAATGAAATTTAGACGGGTCTTTACTGAGCTTGGCCATGCACTGTGATTAATAACAGTACAGGAACAAGTCTGCTATTAAAGGTGCACTTTTTGGTGCCCATAGGATCACCTGCAACCTGGCGGTAAACTTTATTGCAGAAACGTACATTAATGTTGCCAAAGAGGAACATTAAAGCCCTAATCATCTCATCACACCACCAGTAAGTATATCTAGCATTTTTACCATTCTCGTTAGAGAAAAAGGCTTTAAATGAGCTGCAGCAAATATATTTGCAATCAGATTTGTCAAACGACTATTTACTTAAATAGGAAATCTTTTGTTTGATAAGATTGTGTGGAAGTGAAGAATAAAGAGTGGAAGAGTCAATTTAGAAAACTGTCAACCGAATCAAAAGGACCATCAAAAGCACGTAATTAATCTAAAACACCAAAAGAATATTTTACACTCCAAAAATAGTTAATTCCACTATTTCATATGTTCTATTTAAAAAGTTAATGATATGTTCTTTGATAGTAGTTTCTGAACTCGTTTAAAGCACTGAAAGATAAGTAGAAGAACACTTATTGGGGGCCGATTTGTCCGTCCAGTTGGAATGGGGTAAGGCCAGTGCCACGCTCTGTGCACTTTAAATAACCCTTGCAACAACTCCGATATCCTGTTCCAAGGCATCATTTCTGCTCGTGGTCTTATCCAACGCACCCTCTTTAACCAGCAGCACACCAAATTTGCCATCCTTCATACCGGTAAGCCTACCTTGCAGGACCTTTCTTTTATATTATTTGTTCATTTGTACTCGTCTTGAATACGAATGAAACATTTGCCACTGAACGTTAAGCAAACAACAATCAAATAGTATTATTACGTGATTGTCAAATTAAAACTTCACTACATAGACTAAAGAATGTATAAATCTTATTTTAATACTAAAGTGACAAAAGTGCAATCACTTTCGAGAAGAAAATGAGGGAATTTTCTTACCTTCTGACTGTTTGTAGTCAAACTTTTTCTTCACCGCGTTGATATATGCGCCAAAAGCATAAATGACACCTGCCGTGGCCATTCCAAGACAGCCAACTACCAAGGAAATAACTCTTAAAGCATTTTGTTTTCGACTCATTCTGGTGGTAAACTAGGTTCCAGCTACGTATAATAACCTTGTTCTATATAACATGCACGATATGTCTAGACAGGAGAAAACGGCATAAATCTAGAGGTAGTAGTTACATCTGTTGGAAATATACACAGAATATTACCCAATATTTTTTCATTTCACAACATGAAAATATTCACCTACATGTACATAAATAGTATCTGGGATAAACAGATTAATTTGTAATGTTTATAATATAATTGATAACAATAATTGCATATCACCTCGTCACGTGAATTGAACTATGACAGTCACACTTTATAAAATTGTACGGGATCATAAGATAACTAGAGGTTTCAAAGAATAATCAGACTCTAAAGGGCATAGATGGGTTGCAGCTCTAGCTACATTTGATTTCGACATAATTTACAGAAGTAAATCTTTCGGCACATTTTAATAATTCTACATTGAAACTGTAAAGCGTATTGACGCTTTTCATTATGAAGCACGGTGGTGTAGATTGCCATGCAATCCGAAACTTTGATATGTACTTTTAAATTAGCTATTTGTAATTGTGACACAAGTTAATCATGATCGTGTTTAATCATACTAGTGTTTAATATTGCTTGTGTTTAATAATGCTATGTAACATTTGTAAAATTGCTTATGATATTTGCTATTGTTTTGCAGAGTTACATTTTCCTGGTATATAATAAAGTATTTGAACCAGTTGGAGTCTATAATTAAAAGCCCTTATACATGTATGACCCTATCACAATGAGATATTTGCAGACTAAGATAAAAGCTATAAGGTTAATATACTTAGAAGCTGGACATTAATTATGCATGGTAATGACGCTGAATAAAGAAAACGTTTTTTTAATCGTTGCGATTATACGTGTATGTATTTAGATTAAAATGAACCAGCACTTTCCATGCTATTATACATACGAATACTTCTAAAGTGTATTGATTTCATTTCTGAATACAATTCAGGATAAAACAACAATACGTCCATACAATATAAAGGTACTGGCCATTTATGAAGTTATATAGTTAGGTAGCATGGTTAGTACATAGGTTCTTATCCTTGTAATATTTGAAACACATGTGTTACTAAAATAATATAAATATTTACACCCCAGTTCTATTGTTATACTTCATAGTTTCTATTTCTGAAACATGTGTAAATTGAATAGATCTATTGTTACGAATAACAATGGATTTTGACCACAGGGTGTGACGAGCGGGGTTTCTGGAAACCCCTGCTTCTACATCCCGCAAACAAAGTCCATTGTTATTCGTAACAATAGAAATTGATTATTTTTTAAATGGCATGAACAAAAGAAATTACTAATAGTGTTCACTACAAATTGTTTCATGATATCAAAAAAACACATTTAGGAAATTCCAATAAGCATCTATATTGAATACAAAAATAATCCTTTAAATACTCTTTTGCTTGAAGGTCATTTTTTTTATCACAGTCATACATGTATGTCTCTATTCTAAAGCATTGATCTTTAAAAAGAAAATGCCAAATGGGGATTCTAACTCCCGGACCCCCCCCCCCCCCCCCCCCCCCCGGTTACCCAGTGGCCGATCTGGGGTTGGGGGTTCCGCCTAACCCGACTTTTATTTAAAAGATCAATGCATTTGAATGGTTGGACCCCCTTTTTCTCTTGAGTTGGGAACCCCCGGGATCAGCCCCTGATTGCCCCCAAAAAAGGAGTTCCTCTATATTATATATTAAATATTGTATGTTGAGCGTGTCTGGTAGTCGGGGTTTTTAATGCAGACACACCTATTCCTTAGTATGTTCGAATATTAATGTTTGTTTATTCTCGAGAAGAGTGGGGGGGGGGGGGTTGTTTTTGATAAAATCGTAAGATATAAAATACAGTTATGATTACCTTTATTAAACTGATACAGGTAAGTACTTTGGGTTATAATATTGCCTTTATCTTTAGTCTCTTCTACCAAATCCAACGCTTGCCACAAAATGTCGTCCGTCTTATACCCATCCATATTGACAACAGTATACCAGGAGCATGATGTATTTTTTGTTTGTAATAAGAATACACGAAACAGTCAACCTTGACCTGCTGATCCATATTAGCACAGGATTTAACGGGAATATGCAAAAACGATTTGACATTTGTAAAATATACTCACTTGTCAGAGTTTGGACGAAGATAACCAAAGAAAGGTTACTAGTGGGGTTTCATGTAATAAAGAAAATATATTTTCATAAATCATGGTTTGATATTGTCAATAAATATACTATCGTTTTCTTTTTTTCATTTAATAATCAATGTTAACAAATATAGGGTTTATAATGGGGTGTAAGTTAGTTATACACCTCGGGATACGGCGTGTCTGGATAAGAAACCCCTCCGGCCTCCGGCCGACGGGGTTTCTTATCCAGACACACCTATCCCTCGGTGTATAACTATTACATATGATCTATATGTTTTTGCAACAATATTTTTAATATCGGTGAGCGTAACTGACAAAATTAAGTCCTAATGTACTAAACGGTTCATATATGAAAAGTAAATGTCAATTGTAAATGGTTACAGGGAACTTTAACGTACATAAGCAAAAACACAGAACTTAAAGCAAATGCTACATTCTGTATAAATGCGGTAAGCATACAAATAGCAACACACAAAATAAACAGACATTAGAAAAGTAACACTTAGCATGAAATGCAGGTGGCTTTCAAGTTTAAATCAAAAAATTGAAATGGAACTCTTTATTATAGAAGGTAAAAACGACTAAGTTGGCATTTTGTATATATTTGCACCTGTTTCTGTAGCCATTAGGGTTCATCAATAGGAATTGAAAAATATGGCCGTGTTTACACCACAAAATCTACTATGGGTACAGACAAACTGATGCATCTGGGAAAGTCTTAAGGCATAGCTGGACCTAAATATTTAAAAGTTATATGTAGTTTATGTTTCAGAAAATTAAAAACTTACCTGGATTATGATGTGCATTTATTTCCAGTCTGCAGAAGATAGCAAAATAAACTAACACTGATACGGTCCACTCAGTTACACAGTTTACATAGCCTATTGTTTGCAGATGTCTATTGTCTATCTATTATCCATTTAAATCATACTGTTGCCACAGTGGAAAAATGGACACAATTTGATTTTGAGACTTTTCGGACATTTGTAACATAATTGCGTAAAATCATTGTTTTTCTTGTATATATGAAATATTTCTCAGGGATTTTGTTAATTTGTATTGTGAAAAGTTTAAGTCAAGTTTGTAAGATTAAGCTAATCTAATTTAATGTTTCAGTTTGTTTTTCAATAAGATACCTTTACTTCAATCTTACCTATTATTCTTTTATCTATTCAAGTCGATAAATAAGTCTGTCAGTTCTATTGTTAATTGTTTTGCTATGTGCTATTCTTTTCTATAATCCGTTAATTGTATTTGTCACTCATTTAGAGAAATATTTGTCAAGTCTATTCGAGTAATTTTTGGTATATTATATAAACTGTTTTATCATTTCGATATGGTAGATTGGATTTAGTATTTCACTGAGCAGTTCCAACTCTACAATTGTATTCCATGCTGAACTATTAAATTATATATCGCGGAAACCAGAGTCGTCATTTGTTGCAAGAGTTAGTCCCAGAATAGAGTCGGTGCAGACTTGTTATCGTCTATTGTGTGTGTGTGTGGTTGCAGGCCAACACATAATCCAGTCACAAGATCCACCCAGTTTTTATTTGTGACACAACTCACATTTATTATATGAGGGGAGCTTCTCGAACCTCTTTCCAAACTTAGTTTATTTTGGCACCTTCATGAAAAAAATGAATAGAAAAATCCAGTTAAGTTTTTAATATTCTGAAACTTAAAATCCATTTAAATTTTAAATATCTAGGTCCAGCCATGCTCCAAAACTTTTCCAGTTGCACTGGTTTGTCTGTTCTCAGAGTGAAATTTGTGGTGTAAATACGGCCATATTTGCTAAAAGGTTATGATGAACCTTAAAAGTTACCGTTGTATAATATAATTAAGATCTTTTTTGTATGTTATATACTAATTTGTACAAAAAGTAAAGTATGGAACTACAAGATATTATGCAAATAGTCACATCTGCCCCCAGCAACAATATTGGGAAGAATAAATTACTGCAAATAAGTATCAACAGAATCGTCAGGTACACCTTTTACATTTAGGCGTGTTTGAGTCGACGGCTTTGTTCCTCTTTAAAGAATAAAACAAACACAATTATATATTTACATCATCTCGCATTTTTATATTTTTCAATCTCCATGTTGATAGTATAGCCTTCAAAATTTCAATATATGGGTCAAGCGAAATTCCATATAACCAGCATGAAATTACAAAAAAGGGGAGCCAAGGCCATCACAAAAGGGGGAGGTAAGTGACTTATTTGGGTCCCAATATCAAGAGCAATATTGAAAGAAAAATTCTGAATCTTCAAGTTGATAAATTAACATGTGTAAAAGTGAAATAAAACGATTTTACGGAACTTTGCTATTGATACGCATGTATTATATTCATATGACTTGACCCGACTAGTACATTTGACGTTTTAAAGGTTTATGACCCCTTCTGTATGCCTGTAAATTGCAAAATTTTCAAATTACAGTATCAAAACAGCAGAAATAAAAATGTACTAAACAAAAGAGACGTGTCAGTTTGTACATATACACGATGTACCAAAGGAACTGTCGTTCACAGTAATAATATTTATTTTTTTTTATTTTGATTTTTACAGAAATCCACAGACTTGATTACAGAATTTTCGTTATAACATTTTGAAACATAGATTACTCACTTATTTGTCCATGTTGTGCTTGCTTTTTTGTTTTTTGTTTGCATTCAAAAAGTACTAAACAACTTTTCTATCCAAAACTCCTCGTGCTGAGTCACTAAAGTCGAGCGCATCCTAGAAGGTGAACTTGAATATGCCACTATTTGTACTTGTCTTAACTAATATCTTTTTTTAAAAAACTTGTTTTAGGGAAATCATTGCTAGCACTGCATGCAGTGACCCCAAATCTGAATAAGATATAGATCTCTGATTTCGTTATCCTCCTAATATATACGAGCACGCGAGTTAAGATAGATCTGAATTGTAATCAGATTGCGTGATCCCCTATCTATTACTTACTTACATGGTTGTCAAAAATAAGAGTACATTTGGAAAGGCTGTAGATTTTCTATAGAACTTCCAACTGTTTAGCATTGACACAACAAAGGGTACATAATCTAATTTATTGTACACCCATGGTCAGGCATGCTGTGTGTGACTTTTTTCCTGTGTTGCATTAGGTGATTATCTTTTACTGCCTTCGTACCATCGCCCAATATCCGTTCTTTTTCACACGCATTCGTTAGTCAGTAATATAACCCTTCTCCTGTTCGCAAACCCAACATCGCATATCAAGATACAATGTGTTTAATTAGTTTAGGTTTCCATGAAATACAGATTGTTGATACGCAACATAGACTTAAAGCTCGGGATCAAATGTTGTGTTTTGATATATCTTCAGATATTTATATCTGATACGAGTGGATAGGTGTTTAATTGACCGACCTTATTTCGTCGGTCAATTTAACACGTATTTACTCATATCAGATACGTTGACGTATCATATCTGGAGATATATTAAAACACAACATTGATCCCTAGTTTTAAGTAGTCTGTAAGGTACAATGTTAAAAATTACATTTACAAGGTAAATAAACAGTAATGGAGTAAATAAGTTGACCATTGTAGCAGCAAGGCCCGTATGCATAAAACATCTTAACTTAATTGTTTCTTATACTTAAGAATTTCCTTAGTAAAGTGAAATGTGTAGGTCATATGTATAAAATTACTTAAGTCTTTACTTAACTAAGGATACTTAAATCGGAACCTTTCTCTTTATTATTCCTGTTTGATATGTGTTAGCTCATCGCAAGTACTCATCCTTACATATTTGTTTTGATTATTTACATTGAACAATGCATTCTTTTATAACGAACGAATTGGGTTAAATTACAATCAAGGTGGTTTGTAATTGAATTTTAAGATTTTTTTAGATTTGACATGTCAAAAGTTCGACTTCGAAACAAATGTGCCCATTTTTTTTTTTACTATGTCCCTATATTTTTCTTATTGTTGATGGACGAACAGTTGTCTATAATTGCTTACACCCAATTCATTTGAACTTTGGTGGAATAGTTGTCTTATTGGCAATCATATATTACCACATAACACCTCTTTATTCTTTATATTGCTATAAAGAAATATCGTGTCACTGTACTACTAGTTTAACCTAAACACGTTTCAAATTTTTGACAGAAGAAACAAGGTAACTGTATGCATGGGACTAATAGTTTGTATGTTTGCTTATTCCAGACTCCAGGTTACGGAAATCGTATTACAGATCATACACAAGAATCAGGGACAGCTCAGCGGGGGTAGCGTTATCAGTGACCAACAACGGGGCACTTTTGGACTGATAAAATTTAACATTGTTGTATATGGAAAAAACATGACAGTTGCTTTAAAATGATTTGTCAACATTTTATTTGTACAATCATAAACTATTGCCATGGCAGGTGAAAAAGTTATTAGATTTATCTTTATTTTGATGTAAAAAAAATTATTTTATGTTATTTTAAAGTGGTGTCCCTAATGATTTGAAAATTTCCCATGAAAAGATACGTTTTTCCTACATAACTTAACCAAATTCAATGATGACGAGTGGTAGTAAAAAAATCCTATAAAATTCATTATTGCATCGACATTATTTCGCCATGTCCCATGTTATTTTTGTATAATTCTTCTTTCTGAAGGTGCAAAAAAAAATATTTTAAGTTTACATTTGATGGTGTCCCTGGAAGTTTTAATATGGTGCTTATTTCGTTATCAAACGTCAGTTCATGTATACGTATATTGTAAAGAACTGAAACCGATATCTATACATACCATATTGGGAAAGACGGAAAATGTTTGATATAACATAGCGTCGAAACTTAAAAAAAAAAATATAAATAATTTTAATCATTTTTCAATTATTGTTTAAAATAAATTCATGATGACGAAAATGTTAAATTGAATTTTAGTCCTTATTAAAAATTGTTAAAATTTTAAACATTATCCGGAAAATTTAAATATATAGATAGAACTTAAACACATTTTGTATGATTAGAAAATTGCTAATGAATTACAAAGAGCTTATTTGCAGTACACACCTAATGACAAAGGAAACAATGTGAATTTGAAATTCTGTACTAAAAGTTGGATGATGAATTAATTAAAAATGCAAAGCATAGCATTTGTGTATTGCTATTAAAGTTTTTTAGGGTTCGGGAAAAGTAACATTTAATTGTTTTTCTTTCTCGTAAACACTTATTATGTATAATACATATTTTATTTATTGGAAGGAAAAAGATATGTACAAGTATCGTTTATTGTGTTCTTATCTTAACCATATTAAGGTGTGAGTTTAAACAACAACCACCCGTTGTTTTATCATCTGTCAGCTATTCAATTAATGAAAGATGTAGACCGACATTCATGCTGCTTTTGAATATCATTTGACAGTACTAAAAGTTTAATGTACACTTAAGGTAGATGGGGTGTCTAAATTATAATCCATAGAATTTCTTAATAATTTGCCAAAATGTAGTTTATATCAAGCTTTTTAAAAAAAAATGATAAAAAGAATGGGTCACGGGGCTTATTTTCACGCTACAGGTTGTTCAAAATTAACAGATTTTGTATAGATTATGCATGGGAAACCCAATTTTCTGCCATAAAACGAAAACTACACCATAGAATTTTGAGATAAGATATGAGAAGATAGCTTTAATATTATGCTTTCAGATAAGAAAAAGAAAAAATGGGGTCACCGGACTCGTTTTCTTGCTACACAATAAAATAGGTAAATTCCTAACACATTCTATTGTAAAAGTACCTTTATCTGAATTATCTGCCCTTACATTTGAGTTGCCTCCCCTTATGTGGCAAAGTTGGAAAAAATTCAATCAAACAAAAGTTTTCTGTTTTTTTGTAAAATGCAACCATAAATATGATAAAACATGTCATTTTCTATATTGAAATGAAAATTCTTACACATGAATTACCTACTACTCTCAAAATTTGCACATTCTAAAAGATCTAGACCGATTGTTTTCAGGTATTACAAAATCCAAGATGGAGGAAGACACCCTATCTACCTTAACGTATAACTCCGTCAACTTTTGTACTCAGGGATGTTTATACATGATATATAGCCCCGTCTAACATGTCTTGTGTGCATGAGAGATTTAACTAAAATTTTGAATGTTGAAATATTCGAATAATTCGTTCATTGTTGAAGATCCTACATCAACTGTCAAGATGAAGAACGGGAATAAAAGCCCTGTCCATTGATAATTTTCTATGTTTTCTATGTATTGTGTGCGATTTTGTCCCATGTACATTTATGGAGTCCATATCCTTTTATTTTCTTTCCAATATGTTAATTGTGCATCTAGAACATTCAAATGGCCGATGATATAAAAAAAAACTTATTCAACAGTTAAATTATAATAATAAATTCAAAAACAGTTGGGCATTCTCTTTGACATATCATTTGATATCTGCAACAGGTTTTCTGATATTTCAAAAATAATATTACTTTGCCTTTCAATATCAGTGTAATCATTTCTATCAGACCAAGCTTTTTCTATGAATGAAGGTAGATGTGGGGTATAAGTAAATGCAGGAGTCATGAACTTCTGGTAAATGAGATAGCAACCCAACCATGCACATACATAACTTAGACATCTAGAGAGCAAAATATAGCCTTCTCCAAAAGACAGGCTCTTACAGGGCAACTTAGATACTCAACAATAGACATGCCTTTATAAAAATGTCAAGATCTAAATAGCCCAGAGTCTAAACGTTCAATGTGAATTTAAAAAAAAACTATGTGGTGTTTGCTTACATCCTCGTTTTTCAGTCTCTGGTGGATTGTTTTCTAATATTGACAATAATACCACATCTTCTTATTTTTCTTAAGGTCTGTTATAAACACAAACATTCTCCAAATAACGAAAACAAATAAGATATGACATACGACAACTACTTACGAGGTCCCCAAATTTGGACAGGTACCAGTACATGTATATGGAAATGTGTTCGAGTTGAACTTACTTTTGTAGGTCTCAACCCTCCCCCTTTTGAATCTCAGTATAGATTAACAGAACGTGCATAAAAGAAAATACAAAACAGACAAGTTCTAGAAAAGCACTTAACTCTGGTTTGTTTAAGTTTATGCCACACATCTTGTTTTTGGTACCGAAAATTTGCTATCCTATGCCTTTTTTTTTCACAGTAAATCGTCTAAGTTCCAATTCGCCTCCTATTGGTGTCTATATAAAAATGACCGTCCCACATGAGTGCATAATATTTTTGAAAATCTATTTTGCCTTTCTGCTTACCGGGTTATGTGATTACAAAATTGTTTTGGATAGACATGTTTTGTTTATGTCTAAAATTCAAAGAACCCTAGCTCATACAATGGCTGTATAAAAAGTTGTATATAGCAGACATATAATGCTTTTTCATGAACCTATTTAGCGATTTTGCAGGTAAATATATATGAAAACATTTGTTATCTTCATCAATATGAATTGCTTTTTAAACTTGCTTGAGGAAGACGGAAAACGATCCCGGATACGCATGTGAAGATGAAGCTCTATAGGTAGTTTATTGAAAATTTAGATTCACACCGCATATGTTTTCGAGATTTATGAGTTTCATATGCAATTGTATTGTGTCTAGTTTTTGCATATTACTCCCATCTTTTCTTTTCAATATGGGTTTATGTTAAGAATAAACATCATTATCTAAAGGTAATACAGATACAGCGTTTTTTTCTTTTAAATGATTTCTAA